TATGAGGACATTCATTCTTAACCTCTTTACATATTGTGTTATTCACTGGGCTTTAGCTCACTGCTCATATATATATGTAGGTGTACAGGCACCAGACCGCGGCTAGGAGTGACATTCCACGACGACCAAAAAATTTGGTCGCCATTTGTTACTTTTCGCGACCAAAACTTTTGGTCGGCAAAAGTGAGTTTCCACGACCAAGAGCTGTTTTGGTCGGCAATAGATGTATTTTTTGCGACCAAAACTCTTGGTCGGCAATTGTCATTTTTTGCGAAAAAAAATTATTTATTTGTCGCGACTAATAAATTGGTCGCCAAAGCAGGAAAACAATACACCTGTAATTCCTAATAATTCATTCAATCCATAATAAACTTATAATTTTAAAGCATCATTCAAATTAACTGAATCATTAACATTCGACACAACACATAAAAAAAAAATAAAAATGATATTTTTCAAATGCTCTATTTTCAAAAACACAAAAAACAAAATCGAAGGTGCATGGCACCCAACTGAATAACTTGGAACACAACTCCTTGGGGTTTAAAATGTCACATTAGGGTGACACTTCGAGGATTCTAAATTTCACTACTATTGTGGGTACATATAGATAATCATAGTAACATCAGAACCTTTTCAGCATCAGCATTTCTATATGCTTTGAACCATAGAGTTCAAATAACAAAAACTAAGCAAAAATCAATGACAAAAAAAGAACATGAACATGTTCAAGATCTATTTACCAAACAACACAAATGACGAGTATATCCATTTCAAAACCAATGACAAACTTATCATTAGGGCACAACATATGTTGATATATACCAGAAGACAGCATTTTATAGCTCATTTCTCAAGGCAAAAATAGAAAATTATGGTGAAAAGTAATTCAAAGAGCAAGTGCTTCAGGCCTTCCAACTACAAGAAAAGAGTCCAACGCATTGTTGATGTATCAAACTAATGACTCAAACATAGCTGTCAATCAATGATTTCCTCATCTCATCAACAATGGCACTAGGTTGGGCTTCTCGCAACTTGAAGACACTCTCAATGACTGACAATTCTGTTGCTGTAGTATTTGATCCACAGAACGCTGTCCAGTCATTAATTGTCAAGCCAGCGGCTATCACTTCACTACCACGGTTCATAGTCCCTGCCACCAAAGGGACCTGAAGGAGGGTTGAAAGTTCATCCAAGTCTTCAATGGATGTATGAGGATGGACCTACTCCAACACAGTTTCCATTAGAAAGGGGACAACAAAAGAAGATAAAATTTTGGTACCTGATGTTTGATAAGATTGCCACAGATGCATGATATAATTTCTTACCAGGCCACCGTTATTGGAGAAGGCACAATAGCTGCCCACAAGAGTGTTACCAGCAATTGTCTGCCTAAAAACTTCTACCCCAAGAACATTTGCAATCATCTCCTCAGTTTCCTGCAATTCAACATGAATACAAGTGTTATCTGATAGAAGTTATTAAGTTTTGCAACATAAAAAAGAAGAATCATCACTGCCTGTTGATGCCGACATCTACGTAAATTTAACAAAGAATCATTACCCAAACTGAATGAATTACCGTAAACTAGAAAAACACAATGCAACCAGCCTTTAGAACTGTTAACCCGATGAGTTATGTGTACCTCCACTTTACATGGGCTAAGTAATAGATGAACAAACAAGATCAAGGACATTCCAAAAGAACAAAATTATGGCCCGGAGTCATTCCAAAAGAACAAAATAGTGGATTTGCAATTGCATAGGCTTACAAGCTACCTTGAGAATCAGAAATGAAATTCAAAGGTTTAATAAACCAGGAGAGTATATCAAATGTATTTTTTAGCAAAATTGGGGGTAGAAACAGGTGATTGGAAACAATGAATAATAATGCTATGTTGCTGACTGAGACTTCACCACGGCAATCACCCATAGAAAGGGGAAACTAACGAAGACAAGCTATATAAACTGGTGGCGTCAACGAAGTGCACAATTGTCACCGGAGTGTAGTACGCTCAACAGATGCTTGCTAATTATTAACAGAAAATCTGCACGAAATAGCTATAAGTCTAGCCATCTTCCATGGAATCAGAGTAATCGGAAGTAAAGATACAGCAAAACTACATAATCAATGTGATAGAATAAGAATGTCGAAATGGATGGGTAACCAAAAAAAATTAGAGGATCAATTTAGAAACCTACATGTACGCATCAAATTATCAAAGGTTTTTTGAGTGCAGAGTGGATAATACTAGCTAAGATTGTTTAGCTATGCAAAATAAAGACCAGAAGCTGCACTAAATAAAAGGAGTGGACTGGTTCAACTCAAAGCAACCTACAAGCAAGGAGAAATTTTTTCATAAAGGAAGAAAATCATTTAGAAAGACTCAAGGCTGCAAAAACACGACATAAAATTATTGCACTGAAGATATAGCCACGATCCCATACATGGTACTCAACCAGAAGTAGTTGCGAAATAGCTTTTTTTAGTGTAGATGCATAGTTAGAAAAGTATGAAGACTCCAACAAAAAGGAACACAACCTATGGCCTGCCTTAGTCTTGGCTTGTTGATGTACATGTAGGAGATGCTCTCAACTTTACAGCATGTGTGTAAAACCATGGTCAGGACATGGAAAGCCAGCTCTTATTCTAGCAGAAAATAATCTATTTCACATTCAAGTATGCGCACAAGTGCGCAAGTACCCCAAACCCAAAATTATGAAAGTGGATTATCTTGTGTCCACATGATATTACCTGCCTTCAAGTCCAAGAAGCAAAGAAAGCTCTAAATGCATCTTCCAAAGTGGATTAGAACATTAGCACATTAATTTAAACCCTTTGTAGGTAGAAAAAGCAAAGAAGATGGAGGAAAGGAATCATCAAAAAATAGGCAATAACCAATATTTATTCAAAGAGTAGCAATTGAAATTCAATCTCCAAAGACATTTGTCCCAAAGAAACAGGCAGCTTTACCTTGTCAAGATCAGTGTGTGTTAGAGCAACGTAATCATTGCATGCTATACAATTCCCTAGAGCAGATAATCTCTCTTCAATGTGCTGAACAACAACTTGATCTGGCAGACTATTCCTCAGGTGTTGAAGTTCTTCAATCAGGAAAAAAAAATAGGAACGTGAGGTCCACAAGTATAGAAAAATGCCATGAAATATTTTGAAGGCTAAAACTTAAAGTTAATTCAGTTCAATCTTTATAACAGAAAGTCATTACATTACATGTTTATCTATACCAATATGTGTAGGGTGTAAGTGTAACATTCAGAGGAAGCTACCTTCTAAGAAAGTTCAAATGGTCATAAAACACTGCAGCAGCTATCAAACATGAATTCACGTAGAGCAATGCCACATCAGTTTGTAAGATTTGTTTGCTTATATAGCATTTTCCATTCACAAATTTTAATTGAGAGATGCAAAACAAGACTTGAAGAATTGTGAGCTTGTCAAAGATTGCCATGACAGCTCCCATTTGCATTTAGAATATAAAGTTGGTAGAGCAATCAATAAACAGATTGTTCCACTTCCCACAAGGATGCAGAACTCCTGCCAGTTCCCGCCCAATTTTTTTGGTCGGCAAAAGTGTTCGGCGGGTAATTACCACCTTATAAATATACCATATGATACCAAACATACATGCACCAAAGACTAGAAAATTGTCAACCATCAACTACGTAACATCACAAGCCACCATAAACTAGAAATTGTCAACCGTAGACCATATATTTTTTCTATTCTCTTTTTATTTCATATATTTTTACCATTTTGCCATTGGTCCATTAGCTTTCCATCATGGTAATTGTAGGTTTCTCAAACCTTAGGGGTTTTTTTCCTAATTGCCAAACCACAGAGGAGGTAGGTGAAAGTCTCCTCTTTTTCTATCATAACACACTAATCACTATTGCTTCAAACCCAGACAAAAAACATGCAAAGCCAATCTTCACAATAGGTGTAATGAAAGAAGGTGTAATGAAAGTAAGATTGGACAGGGAGTACATACCTTCACAATAGGTGTAATGAACTCAACTAAGAAAGAAGGAATTTTTAGCAATGATGGCCAAAATGAATGAATAAAATTAATCAACAGCCCTTTAATATGTGATCCATCATGGTCCTGTGAATGCATAAAAATTGAAACTTTTAACCAAGTCATCAGCAAACAAACTAAAATGCATCCACACTCAGTAATGAATCAACATAAAGATAAAACCAAAAGAAAAAACAAAACAAGAAGTTAAATGTTTTAAACCTGATCAATCATGATCCTCAAATGACCATATGTCAAAGTCTTCACACTATCATACTGTTTTTCCATGCTAAAGCCCAAGAATCTGCTTGATGCTCTGAATTTCAGCGTTCTCCATGATATGTTTATGGCTTGCTTCCCTCACATTAAGCAATTTACCTCTCAACGGGAACACACCATAATAATAAGGTAACACAACAGAAATTCCTGCCATCCGTATATACTCAAATCAGTTAAAAACTCTAAAACAAAACCAAACTCAACTGAAACTACTTAAACAAAACCAAACTCAACTGAAACTCTAAAATGAAATCCCCTGTCATTTGCATACTTGGAAAACAAAAAATGAAAATAGCTCAAGATAGATACAGTGTAAACACAGACCACAAATGAATGCTCAGTGTGTGGATCCCATGCTACAGTTTCAACATCTGCTGAAACTGACCACTTAAATCCTGTATGAGAAGGTATCCTTCCATCCTTCTGCAATCACATAAACATATATTTAATCAAAATAATGCTGAGGTAAGGCAACTTAGCAAAGTGAATACACAAGCGCGCACAAAAAAAAAAAAAAGTAAAAAAAAAAGAAGCAAAATGCAAGAAAACAATAATTTTGAAGTTTATAATTAATAAACAGACCCAATAAAACATTTCCATTACCATGACTACTGTATGATCAAAGGATCCACTAAGTAGAACTTGTGGCACATGATGATTTCTTGCGACGGCTTGAACCTGAAAATCAACTATAGCAAGGTCATAAAAATTATAAACAAATGAAGTTTTGCCACAGTAAAACGGACGACTTGAATCCTAAAAAAAAGAGAAGGCATCCTATAACATGACAATTACACTAAAATCTCATTAGGGTATCTTACTTACAAAATCAAAATAAAAGTAAAAAATTGTACATTCAATTAACATTTTTTTAATTAAAAATCAAGTTCACTAACCACACACACACACACACACCAAAAACGAACACTAATTGTTTACTTTGGCCTCCACTTGAACTTTTTTAAAATTTCATTTTGACCCCTAAGCATGCTTTGTGTCCATAACATGCCCCCAACGTTTCCATAGCATTTTATTGGAAGTCTAATTGTTAAAAAAAATTCTTTACACTAAAAGTACCTTAAATTTTATAGTGTAAACTATACAAGCCTACCCCTATTGTACCACAATTTAGAGCATGTGACATACCACGTTCCCATTCCCATTCCAAGTACATAGGTTGGACCCCAACATGTTTCCAATGTAGGTGCCTGACACATGTCCATTATGTCTATGTTCAACGCATGTCGAACACTGGTACATGGCCTTCGAAGAGGTGTCTATCCCTCATAGAGGCTAATTTTTTTTAAGATGGGTTTTAGATTCTTTTCTTAAGCTTAGCTTTTTTTTCAAGCTCTAATCAACTCTCTCTCTCTTTTTAAGAGCAACAAACAACCTATAAGTTCATGTGATGTGCCCCTTTTACTAAGTTGCAGATAGATAAAACTCAGAGAATGTGTGTGGATAGCAGGGATATTAACAAGATCACCATAAAATACAGGTTTCCAATACCCAAATTAAATGATATGCTTGACAGGCTATCAGGTTCTCAGGTTTTTCTCCAAGATAGACTTGAAGAGTGAGTACCAGCAGATTAGAATTTAAAAAGATGATGAATGGAAGGCAAGCTACAGGACAAAGAAGGGGCTTTATACGTCATTGGTTATGCCATTTGTCCTTTCAAATGCACCAAGTACTTTCAAATGAACCAAACAGTCCCCTATCATGTCATACCAATGGTGAAACTCATGGGTCTATTGGCTTGGTCCACATGGCTGTTTTGCTTTTTCCTCCTCCACGCATAGATTCCGAGAGGCCAATCCCCATTAGAAAAGGTTAGAATATTGAGATTCAATTCCTTGGAGCAGTTTTATATATAGCAATGCAATGATGACTGTTAGAATATGCCTAAAGAAACATTAAAGGCAGGTGACAAATTTAGTGCCTTCATAGGATATACTTTTTTTCACCCAATTTGCCCTCGACTCCAAAAAGTCCCTACTTAGGTGTTAGTTGGAGTTCAAAGATCCTATGTAAAGATTATTCTTTCACAACAGCTGTCTAATATGGTCTGTGATTGAGCAATTCAATTGTATATTTATTCACTGTGATAAGTGTCACCAGATTCACCAAGTGTTCACTATCAAGTTAAAGCTTCTGGCTGATTTTTCCTAGTCAAACAAGTGAACTCCATGCAAGTAATAGGAAAACAAGGGATGACATTTGACGTTAAATAAAGGATGGTTTATTAATCAAAATTATTTGATTGAATTATTCTGGACATAGAATCTCTCTTACCGTCCAATTGAAAAGGCCATATCATTTGCAGAATTTGTATCTGGGAATGACCTACTCTCTGTTCTGTCTTTGAGCAATGCTGGTGAAGTTTGTGCAGAAGAATTAACAAACTGGGAGCCCTGCATCTTCTCATCTGCAATGGGTTGTCCCATCAGACCTCATTTTGCCAGATAATGTGTAATCCTAACCATTACTAAGTAAATAATCGGTAGGAGAATCAAACTGTTAGAGTGAAATGTAAGCTTCCCCTGCCATCACACAAGAAGTACAAACTAACAATTACGGAACCAATTTTTTATTATTATTATTATTATTTTATAAGTCATTACAGAGCCAATTAATTGGTAAGGAAGAATAAAAATTCAGCGAAAAAGAAAAGACAGTTTTGGCCTGTCTTATAACTATAACTACTATGGAAAAATTTAAGTTTTGGCCTGCCTACTCTACTTATAACTATTATGGAATTCTAGATACAGATAAGGCCAAAGGAGAAGGAAAAATTTAAGTTGTACCTCAATCCATGCTGCCAGTTTTGGCCTGCCTGCTGTGATATCATAATTCTTCACATCCAACAAGAAAGGTTGAAATCTTTCAATAAAAGGAGCATAAGCTATATCCACCTAAAAGGTCATATATATCCCTTGTCGATTAGAGGCATCACAGTATCTCAAAGAACAAACCATGAAGTTGTACCTTATCATACATTTCATAAGTAAAAGCCCAACATATCTTATTTTGCAAATCTACCTCTAAAAACTTGATGACAACAAGACTTGAGACCAGTATTTGATAAAACTCCAAGAAAAGACAAGTAGTTGAGAGAGGGAAAAAAAAAAGGGGACAAACCAAATATAAGGTTTCCACTTACAATACTAAACTGGCCGAGTAAAAAGGGTCCATCGTCAAATTTGGAGGGTGCGGTTTCAGTGTAATCAAATGAAGCATCTGTTGCAGAATACAAATATTGTTTACCTATGGTTATTTTCAATATTTAACTAACTTGAAATCAGTATGTGTTCAACTTACCAGCATCATTCATTCCATCTGCCTTGAATGAAGTAATCACTCCTTTATTGAATGAGTCTGTGTACGACAGTAACTCCTCTCCAAATTGTCTCTTGGCAGGATCCTGCATTCCCAGAGTATGAGCTTGATTTCGCTGGATGGAAAAAGAGTTAAAAAAATTGAATTTCAAAATATTACATTGGGGAAGAGGGAAGGGCCTTCAAAGTTACTGTCAATAGATTTAACTAAATCAAGACTCTCTCCCTTGACTTCATTATTGTGTTCCAAAGATGGCACCTGCACAAAATAACTAAGTTATAAATTCGTGAACAGAAAATGGTACATTGGCTGAAAGTGATATATCTATATATTATATAATGTGTACATGTTATTTGGTGTGAACATGAAAGTTCTGTCACGCTCTTTTGATTTTCCAAAAATGCCCCCAACAATTGATGAGTTTGAGAATGGTCATGTGAAAATTCAAACGGGTTCAAATATTTAAAACTCCTCAAACATGGACGGTTTCTATTCATCATAAACTACAGAGCTTTGCACTCATCATAAACTACAGATCTTTGCACGCCGCATTGTGTGTGCACCCGCCGCTAGTGTGTATTATATACTGACACAACTATTAGCTACCTATTTGTCTCATCTCAATTTCATCTTCTTGTCAGAACTATCCATTGTTTGGCTCATAACCGAGTTGTAAGATTTCTAAATTCTCACAAGTTTCACTTAAAATTAAGCCATCAAGTTTTTGTAAATCTGTAATATTCAAGCAATGGAGCCATTCTATTGTAATTCACTTTGACTCTTCTACTTGACATTTCAGAGAATTTCATTTTGCATCATATAAAACCATTTGGAACAATTTCATATACATCATTCATTGAAATACCCATAAAGCACAGACTGCATTAGAATAATTTCACCTTGTTCGGCGGGTAAACTTTCTCCTTGTACCAAGTTGGCCTGTTTTGTAGATCAATAGGAACCAATTTTATCTTCTCCTGCAATCCCTGTTTTCCAAAATAAAGAAAACAAATAAATGAAAATGTGTCCAAAACAAATACACTTTATTCAAATGATATACAATCTTAACCTCTGTGTGTGTGTGTGAGAGAGAGAGAGAGCAAATTAAGCAGAAGCCAGAGCAAGAACAGTTTAGAAAACAACCTTACAGTTTCGGGTAATCCACGCACGTTGGGCTTACGGGCATATGTAGGAAATGTACAGCCTGAAAATCAAGAAATTCAAAAATTCCCAAAATCAATTTTACATGAACAAGTCCAAAAAAATAGCAAAAATTTCAAATGGGTATATTGAAACAAACACATAGATGCAACTGGGAAATGCTAAAAAAAAAAATCAAAATCAAATAACCCAAAAGAAAGTGCGTTAATTCTGAACCTTATACCTTGTCGTCCCATCGAAGATTGCAGGTGGGTCTGAAGTAGAATCAAGAGCAGGTGGAAGAACTTCTTGCACATATCTACGAGAGACAGGCACAAACAAAATTTGGAGCGAAAAATGCACAGATATATCAAGCTTCTGTTTGGTTTCCGGCAGAGGCACTAATGGAGGAGGAGGAGAAAGTGTAGGGTTTGATAAGAAGAGAGATGAGGTCGTCGCAGATATCGACGATCCTGTCGTAGGATTTGGAAGCCATTGCATCGCTGTGGATCGCTCACGACGGTTAGATCTCGACCTAGGATTCAAATCTGATTTAGATTTCGACGATCTTCTCGGATCCGGCAGAGGCACTAGTGGAGGAGGAGGATCATCGACGGCGGTGGGTGTTTAGGAGAGAGAGAGAGAGGCACCAGCGGAGGACGGAGGGGGATCATCAACGGCAGTGGGGATCTACGGCGGTGGCCGTGGCGATCTGTGCCGGTGGTGGTGGTCTGCGGTGAGGTGAGGCTTGGTGGTGAAGGAGAATCTGTGTGAGAGGTTTGAACAAATGGTTGTAAACAGAGAACAAGAACAGGGGCGGTGATATATATCCCACTAAAAAAACATTTCACCTTTAGCGACTAAATTTGGTTTTGGTCGCAGAATCTTAACATATAACGACTAAAATTTGGTCGGCCATTGTCTACCAGTGCATTTCGATATCAAAACGACATCGTTTTGATATCTGCGACTAAATTGTGTTAGTCGCTAAAAGATTTTACTGTTCCCGCTCAATTTTTCACCTCCTGACATCATTTTTAGCGACTACTATTTTAAATTGGTCGCAAAAAATCACCTTTTTGCAACAAAAGTACTTTAGTCGGTAATAGTATCAACTTTTAGCTACGAAATGTTTTTTGGTCGGCAAATGTCATTTTTTTGCGACCAAAATTTTTTTGGTCGGCAAAAGTGGTCGGCAATTGTGTAAATTCTTGTAGTGATTATGTAATCCTATGAATTGCATACACACACACACATATATATTAATGAGCTTGCGATACATATAAAGCTTGATTATTGAGTTTTCTGTCAAGTAAATATTATTTTTTTTAATCAAGCTGAGTTAACTTATTTTAGTCAAATTGAGTTGTGAACATTTGTTGAATCTAAATACAGCAAACTAAATTCACTTGAGTAATCCTAAACAAGTCATTCTCAATATTTGTCTAACTCCCACCTAAGAGACTGAAAAACAAAAAATAATAAATAAATGGGAGAAGTAAGATATTGAAATGAAACTTTTTAATTTTTGAAACATTACATAAGTAATGTCACATAATAATCTATGAGTAATTGATAATTATAGGTAAGAGGGGATATGAAATGAGAGAGAGAGAGAGAGAGAAGAGTATATAGGGGAAATAATTTGACAAGGAGATTAATTAAAGAAGAAAATTTAATGTGAGAAGTGAGACCTGGATATCTATGCGTGAAGGTATCCCATATGCTAGGACCTCTACCACCTTCATTTGCTGCACCTTCGTACTAAAAAAAAAGAAAGAAAAAGGTATGCATGTGAAAAATATTATTTGTCACTTTGACTGAATTGCTTCAGACACATCTAAATAGTTGATTTGTGTGAGTCCTATATAAATTCCATAAAAATTAATGACTCATGCCTATTTGAAACAACATGTCATTTTCCTATTGATCTTTTTAATTTTGGTGCAAAAACAGTTTACGAAACTAAAAAAAATAATTTTTTGGTGCTTTGTAAAATATTGTTATTTCAAAACAAAATCCCCCAAAAGTTTTAGGAAACAATTCACCAAACTTTTTTATTTTTTGTTTTCGTTTTCTAAAAATAAAAACAAAAATCAAAAGCACAAACCAAACAACATAACTTTTTCTTGATGGGCAACCAACATAACTAATAGCACAAATATGAACCATAATATACGGCAGATTGAGGTAGATATATAGGAACCTGATAAGCAGCAGAGGCTGTGCCAAAGGTAAAACCGGGTGGAAAACTGGTGCGATTGAGAGAGTCACTGCCATAACTACTATGTGTTGAAGCTTCTTCACTACCATTTGTTGTTGTTGTTCTTGATTGAGATATTACAAGGAGGAGGGACAAGAGTATAGAACCCATAACTGATTTTGGTTACCTTCTTAACTCTTGCATGTTTTGGCTTTAAATATATAGTGCCATGAGAATAGTTTAAAAATTGTTGCCTTTTAATGAGATTTTTTTTGTACGTTAATAGGATAACAAGTGACACTATTTTTTATTAATCATTAATGTATGTATACTCTTTATTATTCTCTAAACACTTGAAATAAATGTAGTGGATTTTATTCTCAAAACCAATCACAATAGTAGAAGATACCACATAACAAATACCTTATCCGCATACAAAAATTACGCATATACTTATATGGCGAAACGTGAAATAATAACAATCTTAAAATCCGTTGATTAAAAAAAGAATACTGGAAGTAAGATTTTTCTCTAAACTCATTGATTCACAAAAAATACGGAGAATAAAAACTCAACAATAGTTGATTCGCAAAGTATATCCAAAGTTGAAACAAAAGAGCCCAAAACTTGAAATATATTAACTTTCAAAACTATCCCCCTTGCCCTAAAGCTTACATCTTTATTTATAATAAATACATTTTTTTGTAAAATAAGAAACTAATAAAATAGGAAATAAAATCAAAACTAATAAAGTAAGAAAATTGCATCATATCAAATCAGGAAACTAAATAACTATATAATTCTATAATATTCTATACTAAATTAGGAAATTCCTAATTTCAAAACAATAAAATAAAAATATTTATTTTTTAAATTTCGGCTTGCATCATTATGATATTTTTTTAAATTCAGTTGCATCATTATGCAAGCCGAATTTTAAAAAATAAATATTTTTATTTTATTTTTTTGAAATTAATAGTTGATTAGGAATTTTCTAATTTAGTATAAAATATTACAGAATTATTTAGTTATTCGTTTTCTAATTTGATATGATGCAATTTTCTTACTTT